ATGTTGAACAGAAACTAGATGAAAAAATTCATCCACCCATTTTACAGTCACATACATTGTGCTCTTTCTTAAATCCTATTTTACAGGTGGTCTTTACCCTGAATATCTAAAATGAAATTAACTCCATTATTATGAACTTATTGCAGCCTTTTGCACATGCTCCAGCAAAGAGTCCTCAGTCTTATGATAGAGATGATTGCATAGAATATATTTTCTACCTATCAGCCTTCATTCACTAAATACTAAAACATACCTGTTTTATTTGTAAAATTACTGTCTCCTCTGTTTAAGATCTGGCTTATGCTTGCTTTGCAATACACCTGTAACTCTTCACACTAAACTCAGTGCACTGCTATAACCTCTCTTGTTGCAGATAGACACATAATTCAGTTTGGGATCCAACATAAACAGGACCATTATGTTTGGAGAGTGTTCCAAAGCCTGCTATTCAAGCAATCTGTGACATAAATAATGCAAGACCTCTTCTTTCTCCAAATCACTTCAGTTCAAGCATGGACTCAGAAAGACGGAAGCCCAAATTTATACTGCCATTACAAAATTCAATCTATTTCTGGTTCTCCAACTGAATTATGACTCAAAGTCTTCCACTGTTTTCTATTAGCACCAACCCACACACTCCTACCCTTTGCCAACCCATGCGGAAAGGAATCTTATTTGTGAATATTCCTGAGCTTTATTCTTATACTAAAATAGCAACAAATCTCAGCTAATCTGAAAAGCCTCATGTTTTCTTTTAAAGGAAAGTAAGGTAGAAAATTGGTCTTTTTTTCCCCCTCCCTTGACCCCTGACCTTTGAACCACAACCTCCTTGCCACTAAAGCGTTCAACACCTCATTTAATCTCTCCTCACTGCGTTGGCACAGCACTGGAAAAGGAAAAGGGAAAAAAATAATCTGGGGACTTCATCAATTTTTCATGAATTTTCATTTAGGCCAAAGCCCCCTCTTACAGTGGTCGATAGATCAAGCTGCTGTCACATATTTAACACCTGGGGCTACAGCTGCTATCTCTGGGGGCTGCCACTGACTCAGGCTAGATCAGAGGCAGCCCAAGTCAGCGCAAGGACCCTCATGCTCTTTCTCTTGCTTACATGTGGCGCCCCAGTGCTTGCAACTGAAATCCTAGCTACAGTCGCTATTGAAAATGTGTCTCCTGATATTCCCACTGGAAAACCACACCACAGAGGTTCAATCACGTCAATTCATACATTGTGAAAAACTGTGTGTTTATTTTAAAACTTCTGGCTTTCAAATATGAAAGAATCAATTATTTCAAGCTTACTTCCCTTTCTAAGATCCTCCCAAGAAAATCTGAGCATTGACGCATTTCTAACAATGTCAACCCTTGTTCAATTTCAACAAAAAAAATTGTAATACACAAAACCAAAAGAAAGACATTTTATTCTTTTGAATACCAATCTCTATAGTTTTAGGACCAGAACATTTATTTTTAATGATTTAACCATAAAACATACAAATACTATATCAGAATTTGTCACATACACAGTGGAAGAATGGTTTTGCTGCTAGCATTAGCATGATTTTTTCCCATCTGAGGAAAGCACACCATGGATTAATGCATTAAAATAATGAAATAGAACAAGTGATATCAATCCTAAACTGTGCTTTCAAATACAAACTCCAATTGCATCCTAAATGTCTTCTGGACTAAAGACTCCAAACTAAAAGCAATAAAAATTCTAAAAGTACATTCTGTATGTTAATTATGTTTTTAAAGTAACTTCCCAAATCACAGTTCTTCACAGTTTCACTGGCACAGAGAAATTTTTCTGAAGACATACATTAGCAGAAAAATATCTGCCCTTGATTGTACGCACGTAGTCTGAATAGGCATGGATTTAAAAGCATACTTAAATGCTTTAGGTGGCATGGTACCTAACTTCCCCATGTTTGGGCAAGGTGATAACTGCTACTTGATCGAAAGGAACTTAGGGACTTCAGCAACCTGCAAAAAATCACTCAAAAAAAAAAAAAAAGGGCAAAATGATTGCATTCAGGATGGGCCACACTGTGCTCTGAATTACTCTATGCCCCAACTGAATTTCATTTAGGAGTTTTTCTTCGGTCTTTACACATAAATATGGATACATCAGAAGAATTTCAATCCCACTGCTTTTGTGGCAGGTACCCATGGAGTAAGCCGGGGGGAGGGGGGGGGAGAAATAGAAGAGAATGAACCACAATTAACCTCTTTATCATCTGAATGCATAAGCACAAACACACTTAACAGATACATAAACCCAATAAATATTTCTTCATAAATCATTCAAAAGTTGCAAGTGCACTTTATTGGCAACTGACAATTTAATAAGCAAAGTAAAACAGTTACTGATTCTTTCACTAAAACAGCAGACTTAAGCATTTTAAACCTGTAAAAAGCAGCATTTGTCTCTAATGGCACAATTTGAGGCCACCTACAGTCAGATAATAATCCAAAACCCTGCTGTCAGCAAAGGATAACTGTCCTTTTTCTGGTGATGAAAACAGCTTGGCTTAGTGTGGAAAGAGCCGTTTTCAACACCGTTACAGATAGCAGAAGTAAGACCCGATCGCATGCGGCTGTCCTGGCTCCCATGGACAGGACTGCAGTATCCAGGCAACTCAACAGTTTTCAACAGCAGTTGAGAACAGGTGAATGAGGACTCACTGCTGACAACAGGCTGTCAGCAACAACTCATTTCCCTAGCGTGCAAATAGACTACAACAGACTTGCCCATCTTTTTCAGTCCAAAAATGCTGACCTTCAAAAAAACAGTTAAAAGCCTTAAAATAACTATTCTCTGAAAGTCACTTGAAAACTTGACTTAGAACCAAAAATAATTTTTAAATAGTATCTCAAAACCAAGGGAATCCAGTCAGTTTTGCTATCATCCTCCAAAGGATGCCTTTGATACACATCAAGTACTACCATGTGCTTTTAAAACCAGTGCACATAGACCCAGCAGAATCTCTAAAATTAGGTAAACAAGCAATGTACATATTACTGATGTATTTTTTCCTTTGGTGAAGACCTTCCTGTAATCACAGCCACAGTAGGGCTCAAGGAAAGACAAAGCACTGTTGAAGTGTAACAGGAGTGCCTGCTTTAGGCTGCTAAACCTTTTAATTGTGGAAATTAGTCAGTTAAATTTCAAAGCTATGAAAACAGTGTCAGGTGCACATTGCTATTGCAAAAACTTTGGCTATGGTTTGAGATCTCAGGTTTCGTGTCCTATGAACCTGCTCTAAAATACCTCTGACAATGGAACATGGTTTTATTATTTCTGAAGTCTTCTACTATCTCACATACAGTTCATGCATGACCTGTCACCAGCTACGGTGGTTAAAACAGTAACTCCAGAGACTGGGGATATTGAAACAAGAGTCTCTCGCAGCCAAGGAAGTAGAGATCAGTGAAAACTGATGAAATATAAAGCACGTTTAAATTTCAAAATGATCTGTCACGTTAATTTGATGACTCAAGATATAACTTGAACAATCTTCCGAACTTCGACAGGAGATTCTGAACCTCAACAGGATTACAATAAAGATTTCAAAGTGTTTATATGTCTCTCACAGGATTTTCTCAGAACCCCATGTACAAAGACAGAAATAATCCAGCAAATTTATCTAGAGTCATACTCACCCAGCGTTCAGTCTTCCTTAAAATGGTTGTCTTCTTGATTCCTAAATACCTACCAAAACTGAATAACATTCTGAGATGCCTTTATTGATAGATACATTTACTCATGCCTTGAATGTGTGCCAAAACTGTTTTCATTTTTTTTTTGTTTGAAACAGTTCTGATTCTAGGTTATGATAAGTGAAAGGTAGTGAACAAGTGTGTTCTACTTGGCTTATACTACCATCTAAATATTTCAAAAATGGCGTTTTCTGCAATTTCTCAGAAGACTGAATCCTCATGATCAGATCACATTAGTTATAAAAAGTCTGCAAACTGCATCAGGAATAAAAGATTCCTCTTCTGTACTTTTTTTCCCCTTTAAACCAACATTCTAATGTGTACTTAAATCCATTATTTGTCAACTAAGCAATACAAGTTTTCTGCTTAAAGCCCTACTTCAGTCAAACACATTTTAGTGAAACTACTGCCAGATGAAGAACTGTGTGGGGAAAACCTCAGCAAGAGGAGAGCATTCATAAATCTACAAAAATACATTTCTGTGTGAAGATACACAGCTACCCTTAGTTGATGCTCTGAATAAAAAGATTAGTGTTTATTCAACCCATGTAACTAAGCAGCAAAAAATAATCGGCAACACATTGTATTTTCTGTATCATGAGTTTCTTTGCTACATGAATATAATGAATGTCTCTGTTAACTCTGCTGGAAGCAGATCATGCATGCTGGGTGGTCTCTGAAAGAGCCATGATGATTTCTCTGTTAAGACAAAGAGAATCGATAAAGAATAAGACTGCTCTGGATGATATGAGAAATGGCCAACAATTTCACTTGCCATTCACATAATGAATGAGGCCTGTATCAAGTTTATGACAGAGAAGCATATATTGAAGCTTCCAGCAGTACAGAACATGAGTCACCAAGAAGCTGTCTGTTTCTGTTGAGGTAACAGATGACTAGATAAAGAGAAACAGACAGTGCACCTTATATTAAATGACAGGTATTTTTCCACATTAGCTGAAGTATAACCAACTGTAATCATAATTTAAAAATCAGATTATTCTTCAGAGCAAGATTAGCCTTTGTCCATGTTTGTGCTAGTCATGATTATACACTGGCTAGAACCTTGCTTCAGTATAAATCACGTATTCTGTATGGTCACTGCTACTGTATAAACGCATGTAAAAATGCCTTGACTAATAGCTATAGCTAATGACAAAATGCCATACTTATCTACATTTGTTATCTCCCAGACTGCTGACTGTGTGCAAGTGCTGGATGACAGCATAAAAGCAACAATAAGTTTTACACAGTGCTAATCATATAAAACTACTCACATGCCACTTCCAGAGATGCATTGCGACTCACAGCTTCTCCAAGATAGTTCCTTGCTACACAAACATAACTTCCTTCATCGGGTTTACTCCTGCGTCCGTGCACAATACGTAAGAAAAATAAAGATCCGCTGGGCAGCAGCATGCGGTGGGAACGCGGATCATCCTTGTCCGTTTCCACTCGCTCTCCATCCTTGTACCACTCAATAGTAGGAGTTGGCCGTCCTTCAGCTTTACAGTTCAGAGTTGTTGGCTCTCCTTTAGAGACTATCACATCTGAAGGATGCTCAACAATCCGGGGTGGAAAGTCCTCCTGGCGGAGACGGGATCCTAGAGAAAAAGAAAAGGAGAGAGGGTGGAAAAACTAATTTAATTTAGCTTTAGGCTCCACAAAGAGTTCTCACAAGCTACTCTTAATGCTACAAAATTTTTTTTAAAAAAATTAAAAATAATATGAAAACCTGTACATATCTGAAGTTGTTTTGTCTGATATCCAAAACTGCATCAGACACTTTTAAATCTAAAAACATGATCTGGGCTACAGATATACACCCCTAAGGCATTATCAAATCCATACCACATGCAGAATGGGCTTCAAGGAGGATCTCTTACATATACATGCATGACAATCTTTTCCTTGTTACAATCATCCTTCTATTTACATTTACATTTGCTTCTAGATCGCTGTGTGCTTCCAGATTCTGCTCATGGCTGCTGCTCTCCCATACTTTCATCTGCCAGACTTAATAGATGGACATCCAAAACCACTGTATCTTACCACCCACTGGTTAACAGTTCTTTGAAGTTTTATATATACGCTTTTTATTGATTTTCCACAATCAACGCAGGTGTGGAAACAAAAGGAAAAACCCCAGCAATCCCAAAACAAACAAACAAAACCCCACAACTGACACATGAAAATTATTCCCTCCTTCACAAATTTTTAGTACAGCAGTTGGCAACTTTAACTGTTCAGTGTCTGAAATCATTCATGAGCTTTATCTTTATTTGAAAATCTCAAATGTCAACTGCAACTTCAGAAATTTTCAGTGGATTGCATGCATGCACACACATACACACACACACATACACACAAATACAATACAGGCATACATGTGCATCAAAGTGCACTGCAAATGCCAGTGTCTCAAAAATCATTATAGGTCCATTTCCCTTTTTCTTCTCTCTGCATTCATCCTTTTCTTCAATTTGCTTTTTGGTGTCCATCATCTTTTATCTGCAAATGTACTTTCTAACTCATTTGCAGTATCCCTAAATCTGACCAACACTGCATCATAACCCTGGTTACATGGTTACTGAGAGTTGAACATCTCCATCATTTCTACACAGCATTTCTAATCAGGAATCTGGAATCTTGGATTATCCCTGAGCGTGCTCCAGCAGCTCAGTCTGAGTATAGCAAACCTTGGAAGGAATGTGGTTATAACTTTTTCCACTTACATTTTTTTCAGTACTAAGGATTAAGTAAGGAATTGATTCCCTCTATCACTGTAAAGTAATACAACCCAAAGCACCATCTTTTAATTGCCCACCAGCATACTGGTTTTCACTTTACAATACTGATGATGAATGTGCCATCGTTATGTCTTCACAACTATCAGGACTACTAGGTATTGATAATACTGAAGTTTCTACAGTACTAATTTTGTGCCCTCTACAGGAGCATCTTTGTGTTTTGCCCTGTAGTTTTCTGTGCAGCCACTTTGACACACTGTTCTGACTTTCTGTATTTCCTTTACACTCAGTTGCCTTCACACTGTCTGGGGCAGGAAAGCAGCAGAGCCTGAACATTGTCCTCCACCTTCTCCAACAAAGCCTTCTGCTGTCACTCAAGTCCTGGAACAAGGAAGAGAGGTACTAGCAGAGGGGAGACCCTATAAAAGTAAGGTATGTAGAACAGATTTGTGCTGGGTTCACCACGCTGGAGGAAGTCCCAGTGTCAACCTTCTATTACAGCCTTTACCATGTAGTGCAATTTCACTAAGACAAGTCACAGCATCCCAAATCTCCACTGAACTCTTGTCAAAAAAAATTCAACAGTATCACAACACTAGCCAGATTTTGCAACACCCTTTTTCTGAAAAAAGATTCTTCCACAATTGTTATGCTTCTCATGACAGCTACTAACAAATTGTAGTGATGTGTAAATGCAATAACAGTGTCACCCAACAAAAAAACAAAGTCCAGCACTCTTAACTTCAGCATCAATCATACAGATATAGTTCATTACTGTATATTTAATTAGACTATATTAGCCTGACAAAGTTTGTATGCACCAAACGTCACGGTAGTTCATGCCTCTACATTGCTTCTTATAAAAATGAAGTCAGCTCTCCTAATGATTTAGCACAAATCATCTTTTCTAGCATGGATCCTGAAAACCCTTTAGCTGCCATGCTAGTACAATTGGACCGCACTTCTTAAATACAAGATATATCAGCTACTGCAGGTTAGTGAAACATCTCAATTTTCTGATCAGCAGGTTTGCCCAGTCACAGAAAAGCAATTTAACATCAGTATCTTAATTATATTCTAGGCATTACATATTTAAAAATATTGTCAATGCCTCATTTACTCCAGAATTTATGAGGAAAGGACTAAGAATCCATTCTACAGAGTCAATCCACCTTTGGACTTCTGTTTTACTAACACTCAGGTCATTAAACTAAGGCTTGCCATAGCAATAAAGTGTTATACCACTGCTGCACAAATGGACACTTTCAGTGGCTACTTCTATTGCCAATACAGCAAAAGTATCCATAATCTGTACCGCTAGTACACAAAAAGCCACAAACAATTCATACCTAAGGACAGATAAACTCGGAGCACATTTACAAAAAAAAAAAAAAAAAAAAAAAAAAAAAAAAAAAAAAATATTTCATTCTCCATTCTATAGACAAAAAGACATTTAAAAGCTGACAGGAGAATCTGCAGTTAAAAAGTATCTCTAGACTGTGACCCTATAAACAACATTGAGAAAGACTGAAATTACCTTTAAAGTAAATGATTAAAAATTTCACAGTACATGGGACTAAAAAGCAAACTTCAGACATTGACTACAGCCATATATCATACTCTCCACACAAGTCGACCAACTTACTACTTTGTTGTTTATTCTCAAAAGAAACAAAACCTTGCTAGTTGTGTTAAGAAATTCCTAACCGTATCAGTAAAACCACCAAAGCTGAGCTTTTCCTGAAAGAGAGTCAGAGAACAGATAGAACTAAATTCTGATAAATGGTTAGCAGAGTGTAAAAAAATTAGTTGCAAAAAACCACAAACCAAAAATATTAGTTTTCTTATACACACAGGTTTGTGGATAATGTTAAAATTTGAAGTAGCACATCCTACAGAGAATTACAGGTGATGTTCAAACCTTTGAAACGGTCTTTCTCCTGTAAAGAGTTAAACCTTCTACCTTATACAGCCCAATTCAAAACCCCTCCACAGGTCATAATAGGACTAACTCTGCCTCTTAAGTACTGATGTTTATCACTAAAATAATGTTTACCTCACTCTATCCTAATTAAGCAATTTGTGCACAAGAGAGGGTTGAGATGTGGGCAGCAGAGTCCATGCCAATCAGCAAGGAGAAAGGCTCAGGCAACGTTCAGAGCGGGGCTCATACCATGCATTCCTGTGATGACAGAGTGTACCTTCAGCTATCTAGTGCGGCAACTTATTTCCTTCAGTGTGCACATAAGAGGAAGGAAGAAAAACACACACAAGAAATCAATCACAGAGCACAGCAGACTCCCTCTTCAAAACTGAACTGAGTACCAACAGCTATTCCAGAAGGATACTCTGATTTAGAAATAACAAGGAAAACCAAAAAATTGACTCCACTGCCTCTCTTCTGGCAGAAACAGACACTGTCTACATGCCATAAAGCGACAACCCCAAATGTTTTTTTCCTGGATGAGTTTTGGTTCTTCCACTATGGCTCCCTGCCCCTCCCTCAATACTCTTACAAATAAAACCTAATTTAGAAGGCACAGAAAACTTATTAACCCCCTGAACCAACTGGGCAGAGATGATACTTTCACTGGAGTACAAGATGGAACCATGATCTACTGAAGATACTATGTGGTTTCACTGAAGCAGGCAGCTGGTATTGTATCCTAGACTTCCATTCTTCCCTCAAGGATTTCCAATACAGGAATATTTCATGCATGCACAGAGCATGTGAGTAACCCCTGAGTTTGAGAGTCCTTAAGTAGTCATTACGATGATGGACTGCAATGACTTCAAATTACCTGTTACATGCTGTTGGGCAAAAACATGCCTTTAGAAAAAATCCTACGATGATCATGACTAACTGAAAGATGCCATGAAGCCGTACCTATGAAAAAGAGAGCATTAACACTTACCTGAACACGTAGAGTACTCTAATACTTACTATACATTAAGGTTCATATAGCTATTGCAGATGACTGCTTATTACACATCTCAAGAAGATTTGTTTCATATACGCCTCATCAGCTAATTCACATAGTGAGTTTTAGGCTCATCTTTTTGTTTATTACTTCACAGAATAATTTAAACTTCTGTTCAAAATAAAAACCCCAAAATATCCATTAAAAAATAATGTGCAAGTCTATTATAGTACCCTACCTTTAATATTAATGTTTCCTTGTTCATATTGCAGCATTAAACAAAAAGCCACTAAAATTACTCCAACAAAAGTCAAGACATAAGTCATCTTTGTCCAATTTACCTTTCTATACTTTTATCCTGGCGTACCTTTAAAATCTCATATTTCTCAAACACTCTGCCACAAAATGAGTAAGTCACAATTACAATCCATTACCGAACATAATTCAGCAGTAAAAAGTATTATCTTGTACAAAAGCAAAAAAAAAGAGCAGTGATTCTACTGCACTTCTAGCATCTGCCACAACATGAGATACTCCTACGTCAGGAAAAAAAACAAGAGGTGAAATTACAAAAGAATTAGATATAATGACATTCTCTCTTGATGCTATCAGACAAAGCACAAAAAGCCCAGAAAATAAGTACAGCATTCAATATAACCTCAATGTCATCTAGAACATTGCCCATCACACACCCTAGCAATATGTCTGATTGTGTTTTGTGTGTGAGAATCAAAGCTAGAAAAAGATGAATGAGGATAGTTTTCAGTATATGGTGAAGGTATAAACAACCTTATAGTCTCTGGATTTCAGCATCAGTTCAGTGTAATAGCCTGGGGTGGGGTGGGGTGTGGAAATAAATAAAATCATTCTGCCTTAATGGTGTTGAAGTCCCTGATAGAGTTTTGCTAAGACCATGCCATAGTGAAAACCACC